TTATTTATTTTTAACGTACAAAATGACTATTTTACCCTCATATTTAACGGCAAATTGGATGAAATGTTGCAAATTTAGACGGCATTGGGAAATTGGGGAAAAAAAAAAGTTCATATCCTTAATTTTCTAAAAAAAAAGAATAGGGGGCTAATTGAAAGCGAGGTTCAAGTTCAGGGGTATTTCACGATCGGTTGAGCAGGGGCACTTGTATTTATATGCATCTTCCTAAGAGTCTTGCCCATCAAGAAACTCTTAAGAAGTCCTTATTGCATTAGGTTTATAACTTCTAATCCACAATTAAGATAGGAATCCTTCTAGCTCTTATATTAGCCTTAGAACACTAACTTTAATAGAGCTGCAGGTTTAGTTGTATTTGAACTCCTAATTGATATCAAGTCTTAGAATCCTTTGATGATTATAAGACCACACTTTAATGGGTTAGACATCTCTACACGTCTAACATGGTTTTCTTCAAGGAACCCCAGCTAACGCCATGAGTGCAGTTGCGCGTGCTTTTGTAACATGGCAGGGCAACACACACTTCACGTTCAGCCAAGCCCAAAGCGTTGAGAGCGCTGATCTGAAGATTGGTTTTGGGAGGGATGATCATGGAGATGGGGCTAATAATGCATTTGATGGCCCAGGTAAGACCATAGCCCATGCTTTTCCGCCATCTGATGGGAGATTTCACTACGATGCTGATGAGACGTGGGTGGTGGGCGCTGTACCGGGTGGTTTCGACTTGGAGACTGTGGCTTTGCATGAAATTGGACACCTTCTTGGACTTCACCATAGCGATGTTCCAGGGGCTGTCATGCAATCTGCAATTCCTCCTGGATATACCCAAAGTTTGCATGCGGATGATGTTCAAGGAATTAGAGCTTTATACAACACTTGATCTTGATGATGATCAGGTCATCAAAATGTTTTTATGTTTTTATGTTTGTCATGTAAGGTACCTCACCTGGAGTGAGTGTGCGACACAATATATTGCATTAAAGTTGCGGCATATTTATGCTGGATATTCAATTGTTTGAAGCCCGTAAATTGTGATATTCACCCCATTTGGAATTTTTAATATTAATTTCAGCAGTTATTTATAGTATAATTAAAATTTCATTTTCTTGTTAGAAATTTCTTTGGGACGTAGAAAATTTGATTCTCTCGCGTATAAATCTTAATTAGAGAACCTTCATAGGTTGTACTTTCAAGTCATAAACGATTAGTAATTATTAAAAAAAAGAAAAAAAAGAAATTAAAGTGAAACAGGGGTCAATTCGATTTAGATGAATCAATAGTCATCCATTGTTTCATCCAAAAAAACTAGTCATATCAATGAGTGATAATGTGATCTAAAATCAATTGACAGACTTTTACTTCCAGCGGGAAGAACGCTCTCAACAAGTTTAAACTTCAGTTAAGCAGTGCAAGTATGGTCTACCAAGAAACACTTAGCACAACAAAGTAACAAAATGATAGGTAATTAAGGGCTCGTTTGGTATCCTACTTGGATCCAATTTTATAAACTCAAAAACAGATTTGAAATCCAAAGCCCCAAAAACCCGTTTAGTAGGCCCATTTTTAAAAACACAAAAAGTGAGATTTTTATCCAAAACCTGGTTATAGTACTTACAGACCAAAAAAAAAACTGGCGTGGTGCCAAAGAGAAAGATGGTGGATTGGTGAAGAAGAGTGAAGGGTGAGAAAGATAAGTGTGAGTGGGGTTTTGGAGGAGAGGGTTTTGCTTTGCATTTTTTCTTATTTTTCAGGAAAAATGGGGCAGAGAAAGTTCCAACCAAGAAAGAAACACAGAAGAATGACAGGTCCCCAGCTAACGCCGTGAGTGGTGCTTATGACTTGGAGACTGTGGCTTTGCATGAAATAGGACACCTTCTTGGGCTTGGGCATAGCTCTGTTCAGGGAGCTATTATGTACCCGACTATAACCCCTGGTGTGACCAAAGGTTTGCATGGGGATGATATTCAAGGAATTAAAGCTTTATACAACGCTTGATCATCGGTTGATCATCTCTTGTCTTAAAGCTCACTTCATTTTTAAGTTCACCCAAAGTCATGAACCTTTCATTATTCCTTTTTGTTTTTTGTTTTTTTTTCCAAATAAAGTACCTCACTTACAAGCGTACTAAAAGTTGTATCTGAAATTTCTTAAATACAAATTTGAATGATTTATTATTCTCTGAAATTTCTTTGGAATACAAGTTTGTCTCCATTGCAATCATAGAACATATCATTACTTTTATAGCAGTGGCGATTGTCTTATAAACCATGTCCTCTCTCTCTAGGGGTCAACTCAATCTGGAAAAGTAATTAATATGAAACTTTTCTCTTTTAGGGTTCTATAAGGAATCCGAACTCAAAATTTGAGGTTCAATTCCACCAGTGATGTCTTATAAACCATCTAAATTGAGACATCACTATAATATCGCCAAAGTAAATTGAAAGAGAAAATATAATTGAACCTAATATAAAATATTTTATAAAATTATATATTTTTGAACCATGTCCTCTCTCTCTGTCGTTAGTTTATAAAATATTTTTGATCAAAAGACAATATAATTTTATTATATCAATAGAAAAAAAGTACAAAGGACAGACTATAAAGGGAGCCATCTAGATAGCAACATGGCCCAATGATATAAACCAGCGGAAAGGCTGAAACGATTTGGAGAGAATCACTCTTGAAAATTTTGTTTGTCCTTCTTTCTTGCCATCGCTTCAAACCTCCAGACCTAGCAATAGTCAAAGTCATGATATTACACTAAGAAGAACCGGCTCAAAACCAATATGGAAATGGAAATTGGGATGTTTATGTCATTGTATCCCCACCGTCGGAGAAAAATTTATATATCACGAGAATAACACTATTTTGCTATTCCAATTAATCATGTTCCATCATGCGTGACAACTTTTTCACATTGCAGAACATGATTGTATGGGGATAGCAAAACAATTCCATGTGATATGCAAAACAGTATATATATATTATTACATTACAAACCTATAAAAAAAAACCACTGAAAATATGATGCTTTTGCAACATATCCAAAACCTGGTTATTACTTGCTAGATATAGTATAGCATAATCGCATCAAAATCTATTCTTTCTCCCTTCACAATCACTCTCCTCTCCCATGCAACGTCATAAAAAAAAAAACATTATATATCCCCATTCTCAATTTATGAATATTAATTTTGATGTTACGAAAATTTTAATTGAAGACCCTCTAAGAGATTATATATAGAGTTGTAAACATGGTCCATTTACTAGTACATTTCCACTAAATTGGTCCATTTTATTCCGAAATAGAGAGGGGTTTACAAGGAGATGGACCATTGAAATCCATTGGATGATAAGACAAACTTTACTACGCAATGTTTAAGAGTTACAACGAAATGAAACTGGGTATGACCATTTTGTGATAAACTTACACCAAAAATGATAATGTAAGGCTTGTATCTAACAAAATGGACCATGTTCTTCACTTTGTGCATTGGCAAGGACCACAAGTTTTTCACTTAAACCAAAAATTATTTTTAGTTAATAATTTATTTATTTGTCTATAAGCAAAACTTTTACCATTAAAAAGTATAAATATAGCTAATAGGGTCTAGTCCAATCAGAAGGGACCTTGACTTGCAGACCAATTGTCTCTGGTTCAAATCCCCATGACACCTTGGTAGTGTGTGTGTGTGTGTGATAAATCTTTTTCCCTTGTAGTTTAGACTATTGCTTATATATATATATATATATATATATTTAAGAAGGGAATTTTCTATAGTGAATTGACGGAAATACCTTTACATCAATTAATTATAACTAAGGGAATTTTCATCAATTAATTATAACTAAAAATAATTATTAAAAAAAAGTTAACCTTTATATCAGACTTCCCCTACCCCTTACCAACGCCAATTGTCATCCACACTAAGCATTCCACATTGCTGGATGGAGGGGAGAGAGAGAGCCTTGAATAGAATGTGTGATCTTTTATTTATGTTTTGGTCCTTGTGAATTGCAGTAAAAAAACCTTTACAATAATGACTTATACTAGTTGTGAGAATATCATTCTCTCGGTTTTGGCAACACGAGAATTGCTTGACTCTTGCCTGCATTTTTTTAGTGTGTAGATCAGAATATAGCCTAACGGTTGTAACGTTTTTGGGCAGTATATATTTTATTAATTTCTCATGCTTGGCAACCACAGAGATACATGGACATATGGGGTTGTTGATCCCAATAGTCGAACTGCAGTATTATTTGAAATTGCTCGTAGATATGCTCTTTTGATGCATTCGGGTTCGATTCCAAGAAAGATGATTATTCTCTATAGTGAATTGACGGAAATACCTTTACATCAATTAATTATAACTAAGGGAATTTTCATCAATTAATTATAACTAAAAATAATTATTAAAAAAAAGTTAACCTTTATATCAGACTTCCCCTACCCCTTACCAACGCCAATTGTCATCCACACTAAGCATTCCACATTGCTGGATGGAGGGGAGAGAGAGAGCCTTGAATAGAATGTGTGATCTTTTATTTATGTTTTGGTCCTTGTGAATTGCAGTAAAAAACCTTTACAATCATGACTTATACTAGTTGTGAGAATATCATTCTCTCGGTTTTGGCAACACGAGAATTGCTTGACTCTTGCCTGCATTTTTTTAGTGTGTAGATCAGAATATAGCCTAACGGTTGTAACGTTTTTGGGCAGTATATATTTTATTAATTTCTCATGCTTGGCAACCACAGAGATACATGGACATATGGGGTTGTTGATCCCAATAGTCGAACTGCAGTATTATTTGAAATTGCTCGTAGATATGCTCTTTTGATGCATTCGGGTTCGATTCCAAGAAAGATGATTATTCTCTATAGTGAATTGACGGAAATACCTTTACATTTTACAGAAATTTTAACGGAGTTAGACGTATAGGTGGTGGATTACAACACTTTACATAGTTTAGATGGTTAAAAGTAAAAATTAAAAGTTCTTGTGGTAATAGCGCACATGCCTAAAAGTTCAAGTGCTGTTTATGCAAATTTCCCTAAAAAAAGTATAAATATAAATTGATAAAATAAATGTTAGCATAAATCATAAAAGATAATAACCACAAGCATTCTATATAGGATAATAAACACAAGCATTCCACATTTATATACCACATTGTGTACCATTTTTTCTTTTTTCTTTTTTGTTGAGAAATTCTTGAATTGCATTCATAATTCAGCCAAAAAAGTCATTAGCCACAAAGAGCTAATACAAACTAGCCACAAAGGGCCATTACAATAACGGAGCGGTCTAAAATCAAAATTAAGACAATTTGATGCGCCTCCAATAACGATCAAGCGGGATCGAAGAAACTCTTGCATAGGCATCCCAACTAAGATTGCAAACTCAAAATAATCAAAAAGAGATAAAGCTTAAAAAAATAAAGTCATAACAATACAAATAAAACTCTCACAAATGAGAGGTGAAAAGCTCTCATAAAATGAGAGCTGAAAACT